GAGAGAGAGAGAGAGCTTGGTGACATTTGGATCCAGACTCGATGTTGGGCTTCAGACATTTTGATGAGGAATTATTTGGGACTTGTAACGAAGACTTGGTGTTGACGACTTTCCCATCTCCCCCCTCCTCTTCTTCGTCTGTTCCCCTTCTCTTCGTCTGTGCATGATCAGGAGCTGGCTCATTCTTCCTGTGTGTAGCGCCAGGCCTCCTTCACACCTTGTGATGAAGATGATGAAGATGATGTATGTTTAGTCTGCATTGCAACATTGATTGGGCTTGTCATTGGTATTCTAGCATTCTGCTGCGCTGTCTTGTACTACGTAAGGGAGGTCACTGCGCTATAAAGCACCATTTTTGTATGTATCAGAATGTACACTGCTTGTTGAGATTCTACTTGCACTGCATTGTCCATTCAGTGCTTTTTATCACACTGCAGATCCTTGGTTATATATGTACATCGCCCAACTGGGCATGTAACACTCTCTCTCTCTCATTCCATCCTCATAACATTCAAAACCATCCATAAACAAAAAAAGTATAGATGAGCAAATTAGAGCAATATAATAGAAGGTGCAAGGTTGAATTTATAATAACAAAATGGTAAAGGGAAGAAGACAACATACCTAACACAGAAGGCTACACCGGCAAGAAACCACCAACCAGAGGCAGCATAGTCCGGAAAAAACTTGGAGAGCCCTCCGAGTCAGCCCGCAAGCACAGCAGCACTGGCACTCCTATTCCTCCCAAACAAAACTCTCTTGTCACCACTATCTCTATCACTCCATAGCTAGACAGTCCTCATCTGCTGTCTAGCCTTTGGAGTGTATAGAGAGAGTATCACAAACCCAAAGACCACAAGATCTTCACGCGACTACAGGAGGGCTACTGCTTAAAACACCCTGGAAGTCCCCGTTTTTTCCATGTGCTCCGAAGGAGCAGCCCATGGGAATGCCACCCACAGCAAACACTCTCTGAGCCTCCTCGCCAAGATACCGTGGCCAGAACTCCAAGCATACATTCACAGAATCTCCACACGACACCAGGTGGACTACTGCTTAAAACACCATCGAAGCACCACCATCTTCCACGTGCTGTGTGTGTGTGTGTGTGTGTGTGTGTGTGTGTGTGTGTGTGTGTGTGTGTGTGTGTGTG